AATAAAACTATATAAAAAACTAAACTCTATATATTATCAAATGCAATTAGAATATACATACATGTTTTATCGATCTAATTTTCGAGAAGAAATCTCATGATTTCATGTGAACTAACTTGAAATATTAATTGAAGATCGATTCTTGTTCCGTAACACTATATAATTACAGGGAGATACCGGTAATTAAAGAACTACAAATTTCCCATAAACTTTTTCTCAATACATCCGGGTTTATTAAACCTTGAATGAATTCTTGCGTCAATAAATAACGAGTTGCCAAAATATACATTCATATAATCAAAAGTGGAAATTTTTACTGAACATCAATTCAATAGTAGATAATCAAGATATGAATAATTGTTTAAACCTTTCGAAAATCATCCTTTTGAGGCAGGTTTTGAAGATAATAGCGTTTAGAATGAATAACACGCATTATCATCTGCCTCAAGATTGTTGGTTCTTGAAGGGCGTAAAATTCGGCGTTTGGTTCTTTTATTAATTTTTATATTTTAAAAATTTTAAGTGTTATACGTAATAAAAAGATAGTTTAACTTAAGGGTACATAAAATTTTTTTTCGTTCCAGGGAGGCGTGGAGCTTGTACCAATGAGAGATCCTGTTATTCATTACATGAAGTATAAATTTGGTTAGATTAATGCCAATTAAAAAAATTCACTGATTTTACTGATAGATATATAAATCTCCAAAAATTCCCTAACGAAACTCCACAATTCGCAAAAAAATTCCCCCCCAAAAAAAAACAACCGAAAATTTCGACACTTTGAAGTGCCGAACAGTTAGCCGGTCGCGGCGCTGTTTCCTTTTAATTATGTTCTCGCGTATTTCGGACTTTGTTCTTCGATATTATCTAGAACTCTGTCCGTTATGAAATTTTTTTAATGAACAATCATTCCGTCTCGCATACCTGTTCCCAAACAGTTTTTTTTTTTTTCTTGTTGAAAACAAATATAAATACATATTTAATGAATACGAACGTTCGCATCTTTGCTTTTGTTGCAAGTCGAACCCAGTCCAACATGGACACTATCTGTAAGTACTATTAATTATTAAATCTTATGAGAGTAATAAAGGAATAATATCAGATTTTAATTAATATGTATGATATGTATTATTTATAAAGGTAAATAATTATTAACCCTCGCGATATAACGAGATAAATTTCTTCCGGGGGTTTCTTCTTATATGGACATCGTCCAAGTCAAAACGAATTGTGTTTATATCCGTCATAAACAATTAAGACGTCATAGGATAGAGACGATAGTGCCTATATTTGGGAACTCCCGGTCGGACATGCCGAGCGTGAAACCTTAACTGTATCGAAAACCTGTCGTTCACAAAAAGGGAGCTCTACGAATTCAACAAAATACCTTTTTATGTTGTGAGACGGACACATTAGTAACATTACAGCGATATAATGCGTGTGGTTACCTTAAGTTTGGTTTAAATGAATTGGATCTCCCTGTGTGAGGCGGACCCATTACTATTTACCGCGCAGCCTCTATTTTCGGTCAACTTTCGTAGAATCGACGTATTGTTATTCAAAACTAGAGGCTTGCTGGATCAATTTTAATTTTCCAATCCGTCAGGCGACAATGGTTAGTTAAGATGTCTTTATGACCGTATATCGCATTTGATAAATAATAGGCTTAAAAAAGCTTAGTCGGATAAATATTGATTTCTATACAAAGACTATTTTGGTAGAAAATGTTCAACTTGCATTAATGCATCGACGAACATTAATATAAAAAAGATTTTGTTTTTCTTTTATTAAAAAAAAAAAAAAAAAGTTTTATTTTTTTTATTTTTTTTTTAATAAAGATGTAATTATGTTATGTTTGAGTTTAAAAGGCTTTTCATTTTATAAAGTATGGATGGACAATATTTTAGAAAAGTCTTTTTTATTCAACATTTTTCGACTATTCTCTTCGTCGCTTGCTCGACTGTTTCATTTTTCAACTGTAATTAATTACTAAATACATTTTAGTTCATTAACGATTAGATATATATCTGTTGTTACATATAATTAATGATCAATTTATCGAAAATTTTTTCGTTTTATATATACCCTTTAAACTTTGATTCCTATATATATTTCATTGAATTTTCTTGTTCCAATTTTCAGAACATATTTGAACATAATTTTTCACTAACTTTTATATATATATACTTCGTATACATATTTGAATCCACATACACAGTTCCTCCTACATTTATCATACACCATATTGTGGGGTTGCACCCCTCGTCATCTTTATCATCGATCACCCTATCTCGGCTAGCTTTTTTTAAATCGAACATTTTCCTCGATACTTACCATTTTGATAGAGGGTTCAATAACTCATTAGAACCACCTATCAATACATTTTTTTCTTGTTAATACCGTTCATCGTCTTTGCATACATTACCTACTCTCTTCTTTTGTTCATTTTTTTTTTTATTCATCGCTATCATCTCAATTTGTTTATTTGATTTGATTTTTTTTGTCACTCGAATAGAGGTTTTTTTTCCACTTTTTTTTTTTTTTTTTTTAAAAAAAAAAAAGAAAAAAGGACCTCAAATGTAAGCGCGTCAATGAGCTCGTGTTTTTTGTTAAACACGACTCTGACGAGAAAAAAAAATTAGCTGTGATAGGTTTCTGAAAAAACTTATATTTTTATACACGTCTCGAAAATTTTTACAAAAAAAAAAAAAAAATAATTTTATAAAAAACACCAAAAATATTAAAAAAAAAAAAAAAAAAAATTATTTTTTAAAAAAAAAAATATAATAAACTATGTAAATTTAAAAATGTTTTTTAAAATGAATATAAAGTGAATACGTATAAAGTAACTTGTAAAAGAAAATTGATGATTTAAAAAAAGCTAGCTCAAGACAGTCTATATAAAATTCTCTCGATATAGTGAATTTTTTAAAAAACTTTTACAAATAGAAAAGATCACTTCACTATGAGGAGAGTTTGATTAAAATGTTGGGGTAGTTTATTTTGGGTAAGACATTTTTTATTTTTCTTGTTTAAAAAAGAAAAGTAGCTTATTTTCGGCATAGCAA